CTATTTAAAATAACATGTGCCATTTGAGGTAAATTCACAACATTCCAGCACCACAGAGAGGCCTTTAAATATCCTGGCGTTCGGCCTCTGAGCATAATGAAGCATGCACCGCCTCTTTGGTAGAAAGGCCGCACTTCCATACCACAGGGCCCAGGAATGTTCAATGTGTTTGTGAAACATTGGTAAAGAAAACCTGTCATGACATAAAACATGCCATTTCTTTTGGAAATTATGGTTGTCTAGCTGTCTTGTCAACTTTCTAGGTTGAGTAGTTTGAGACAATTACCTGGAACAAGTATGTAGATAAAGACTTCTGATTCTTCTCTGACTTTCCAGACATGTGTGCTTGTTTCAGGTCAGTGAATCCAAAAAGCATAGTCGAGGCTTAGCCAGGCAATAGAAATGTTAAAAGTGACCCAACAATGGCAGCCTCCCTGGTTCTCTTAGGAAAGGTTTACTTCAACTCACCAATATCTACCAAAAACATTGATTTATAAAGCAGCGCTACGGCTTAACTGCAGCTATACCACTGCTTAAAGTGACCCCAAACTCAGGAGTTAAACCTTAAAAATACATTGAAGTACCTTAACTATTAACAAAAATGTATCTTATTTATGTATCACTCAGCTGTAGATCCTCAAATCATCTCTGAATTGGTGCTGACACTGTACTTCCTTCTGGAGGGGGGTTACTTTTGTTTCCCATGGTCCTTGTGTGTGTTGTAAAGTAGCCACTGCTCCAAGCTTGCTCCCATGATGGACAATCTTAATACAAATGAGTAAACTAAACGTGAGATTGTATACCATCACAGGAGCAAGCTAGGAGCGGTGGCTACTTTACAGCACACACAGGGACCATGGAGAACAAAAGTAGCTACCCTCCAGAGGAGGATGTTATTGCCAGCCCAATCAGCCTGCCCACCCGGCAGCCATATGTAAACAAAGAAGAGGGGATGCTGGTGAAATCATTGACCATATAGGGCCACATGGCCATAATAGATCATTGTCATTGACCAAATATGAAATGAGATCAATTATGTCACCAGCTTCCAACCCCTTTGTTTACATGCAGTTGCAAGGCAGGGAATGCTCTGGACCTCAGATGAATGGGTTGGCACTGACAGCTTTCTTCCAAGTTTGGACAAACTCAGGTTTGGATCATACCTGAGCTCATTCCTATGCTTTACAAATCTGATTTCTGCTTTGCTTTCACCATTCTATAGCAAGCAAAACCCCATGCTAATAAATGGGGGAAAACCAAATGGCTTTGGCTGGACATGTGACAGGAATCTGTTCTGGCTTTCTGTCTGGAAGTGTTCTCTGCATTGTGCAGATAGCTCCCTGAAGGACACCACTGGCTCAGCTTGCTCTGCATGTTATATGTAAAACATAACAAGTAGATGTAGCATCGAGTTATCACTAGGATGTCCTACAAAGAGTAGGTAGTGTTCTTCAATGGGGCCCTTAGTCTTCATACACAAGCTATACCAAAGTCCATTCGTTGCCTTTGCACTTGGGCTATATCCTAAGGATTGGAGCTACTGTGGGGCAATAATGAATGGACCTGCAGGTTTAGGTGCAACCTAGACATTTTTTTCTATACAGATATTTCTTTGAATGTGATCTAGCACTGAGCAAAGTGAATGTTTCCCTACACTTTCTTTCTATATAAAGTACCTCCGCATGATGCACCACATACAGGGCTGGATTTCTGCATCGCCAACATAGGCCATGGCAGGGCCTGCAAGGTGGACAGTCAGCTGCATGGTCTTCATGCTGTTGACAGTCCAGGAAACAGTTCCATAACCAACAGGTTCCAGCTTACCTCCCTGTCCGTCAGTGTCATCCATATCTTCATTGCAGATGTCCCTGCATTGCCTTTGCAGGTTTGTTGGAGTTTACACACTTTCACTGTCTCGGTACACCTAGAGCCTAATCTGGATTGTCTCTCCGTGAACCTGTTCTCAGTATACCTGACCGCACTAAACAATGATTCTGCAGAGCAACCATTACATAAACATGCATAAAACTGTCAGATAAATATGCATGCTTATGCAGTGGGATGTCACCACTGTTCCAAAAAATTAGGTGGTGTACACACAGTTAGCCTAGGGGGCAGAAAATTATAATCCACAACTGACTATATGAGCCCTGGTGTAAGAGGGAGTCTATGAAGCAAGCTGTATGAGACTTTATCAAATTCTTAATAAATAACAAATGAAGTGTACTCCAAGGTTTGTCTTTGATACATCATAGAGAAAAACAAACAAACTGAAGGGTGGGTAACCTAATCCAAATGTAAAGGGGTTGGGTTGATTCACTGGAGTGGTAATACTGTAACAATTTTGCATTTCCCCTGTCCAGGCAATTGGCTCATTGCCTGGACAGTGTAGACTCTGTGGTCTTCAATGACATTCAATAACTGCATAAAAAATATTTGTGGTTAGAGCCCCACTGATACACTAATACATACCTGAACATAGAGATAATGAACCTACCTAACTTGACCTGAGGTGTGCCGTGGTCGCTATGGTCAGTGTGCAAATAAGGGGGCATATTCAAAGAGTAACATTTTATCAGAAGGGGTAAGGGCAGGTGGGGTGTCATGGACGTAGCGCAAGGTCAGTAGGGGAAACGGGAGAGTTTAAATGTGTGGGGCTCCTCCCACAAATACAGCTAACAAATTAGCCTTAAACTTATCCAGCGCTCTGTATTTATTAAGGTTGCGCAGCATGTGTCCTATAGGTATTCCGCATCTTCAAAAACATAATTAGTGATTGGGTTTGGGTTTTTACATCATTGACGATGCTGCATACCAATAAACCCATGCTCCTTGCCATCCTAATCAACATAGGACACTGATTGAATAACCTAAATGGGCCTTTTTTTTCTTCTCCCAAAGTTTGCAGAGCAAATCCCAGCTCCAGATCCCTCAAATTCCCAATGAAGACAATCATGATTCGCTTATCAGTAGCCAGAGTCCTACAGTAGAGAGGACAGTTCTGCAATATCTCTTTAACAGTGGACAAAAGGATAAAAGTGGACTTTTCCTTCAAGAATTGTTATTAGCCTAAAGGTTGTACTAAGACAATCAGCCTTTATTCGTGCAGCAAACGTTCACTTCCAACTACATCTAGCAGTCTGAGGCAAAGTTGATCCTCCTGTGTAGACTGTAACATTTTTAGTCAGGCTGTGTTTGTGCTGCTTAAGACGGCACAGGAAAAGCAACATTTGCTGTTGCATGATGTAAGAGGGTGTTGTTCCAAGAGGCGGCTGAATCCAAAGCATGATGTGAGATGAGCCTAATCAGAGCAAGCTCCGCTGGCTGATAAAATACAAAGGGAAGAAAAGGCCAGCGTCAAGCTTATCGTGCCGTTCCCAGGACCCAAATCTATTCCCTAAATAAAAATGTGCTACCACCTAAGCTCATAATCTGGGCTGTCCTGGGGTTCTGGAGGGGGCTGGAAAAGTTGACTAAAAGCATCTGTGCCACTAAATCAAATCGTCTTTAACCTCTGAACGCAGGGGCTACACCCAATACACCCTGCTTTAACTAACATAATGGGGCATCTAATAGAGTGTTATACCCATCTTTGTATAGTTAAAGGACTTAGAATCTGCTATACTTTTACTATAAGTGCATGCATGTAAAGTAATGTGAAACACTTGTAGGTATTTATTACTTCACACAGAGATCATAGTACCCCCTGACCATGCCATTATCTCTTATCTTGCCTCTCCAAGAGGATGAAACCAACTTTGTGCAGACATCATCCAGGCTCACCATTTACTTCCTGTACTAAGATGCTGGCTCATAGATGCCGCAATCATGTAAATCATGGTTTCTCTGCAGTCCTTGGCTGGGTTTACAAATGTCTGGCACAGATCCGCATCTGCTGCAGCCTCTCACAAAGTTGCAATGTTGCGAACTGAATACTGGGATAGAGGAGACTGAGGAAAATCTTCCTCCTGCCTGCAGCAGACTAATGTCATCATCTGTCTCACTGGAGAGATTTTTCCCCACTTCCTGTCCCTATGGCACCTGGACAATAATGAGAGACGTGGTTGTCAATAGGGCGGCAAAGGCACAGGCAGCAATATAAACAATGTCAGAGGTTCTAACCTTTCTCCACTCTACCAATGTGTTCTTAGTTTTTGCCTTTGTCCCCATTGAAGAGATTTCCTTTCACTACAAGCCCTGGCAGTAAGTCAGCGGAACTCTCCCCAAAATGTAAATAGTTGGCAAACCTTTTCTTTTGATTTAGATGGAGTGTGTTAGGTTAGGCCCACTGTCATCTTTCTTTTTCTGAAGTAACAGAATGGGACTAACCAGACGAAAAGTGGGGGGAAATCCTACATTTTAGATTGGATCACCTACGGTGAGGGGAAATCTTCTAATGGGGGGCTAATGTTTCAACGGTAAGGGTCCTAATGGGAAATTCTCCTCATTTTGGGGAGCTGTCCTATCATTTCCTGTTGCATACCCAAGAGAATGAGAGAACATAACCTGGTAGGGGTTTTATGAATAACATAGGCTGTATATACAATTAAGGTCTTCATACATAGGCTACATAGGCCATGTTAGGTTATCTTGGACCTAAATCACACAGATACTGGGAAATAAATTATAGTCTAGTAGTCATTTAAAATACTGTCACTATCTGTCTTTATATTGTCTTCCTACAATCCCCTGCACAGCAGAAATCAGAGATGACCTGAGAGCCAATCAAGATTTTTGGTATATCAAATTGGATAGGAAATTGTGCTGGACGTGTAACGGATACCATAATTCATACCAGAAACCTTTGGCAGAGCTAAGTTCAGGGGGAATCTAAAGGTCACGGAGTTTATTGACCAAAACACAGTTGTTCTTCCAAGACAGTGGCACTAAGGGAAAAATGGTTCATCATTTTGGCTATCTGCTAACATATGACCCCTTCTCTTCAATAACGTGTTTTTCCAAACATGTCAATGACAAGCTTTGTGTTTCTCTTGTTTCAGATGCATTGTGAACGATTTATATGCATCCTAAGAATAATTGGAACAACCCTCTTCGGAGTGTCCCTCCTACTAGGAATTACGGCTGCTTATATCGTAGGGTATCAGTTTATCCAAACAGACAATTACTACTTCTCTTTTGGACTGTACGGTGCAATCTTAGCCCTCCACCTCCTTATCCAAAGCCTCTTCGCTTACTTAGAGCACAGGAAAATGAAACGTTCCCTGGAGACCCCTATAAAACTGAACAAGTCCGTCGCCCTATGTATTGCTGCATATCAAGAGGATCCTGACTACTTACGAAAATGTTTACTATCCGTCAAACGGCTAACCTACCCCGGAATGAAAGTCATCATGGTCATCGACGGCAACTCCGAAGACGACGTCTACATGATGGATACTTTTAGCGAGATCATGGGCAGCGACCTAAGCGCCACTTACATCTGGAAAAATAACTTCCACGAAAAGGGCCCCGGGGAGACGGAGCAATCGCACAAAGAGAGCATGCAACACGTTACACAATTGGTGCTCAGCAACCGATACACTTGCATCATGCAGAAGTGGAATGGGAAGAGAGAAGTGATGTACACGGCATTCAAAGCACTGGGGAGAAGCGTGGATTATGTGCAGGTAGGTCATAACTCGCTGCATGCTCAGACAGAAGGGCTTTTGTATAATCCCTGCAGAATGGTACAGGATACAGCAGGCTCTTTTGAACACAGATGCCCATTCACAGTGTTTAAAGCACACTCTGCTCCATGAAAGTGATTTTTATTTTTTTTACCTTGTACAAAGTGGCTGAACAAACTGTAAACTGTATTGAAAGTGCATAACGTCACTCTTGTGAAGTGAAGGGTCTCAAATCTAGCCTTAGTCCCCCCAGTCCCCAACACACACATATGTTCCTAGAAAGGCGTGACCCTTCAAGACCACGGAAAATGAAACTCATTCATCGAATGCCAAAACAACACGCACAGTCCGCTGTAACCTGTTCAGGTTAAAATAATACATACAGTGGGCGGTGCAGTGCATTAATGTTCTGAAAGCAAGAGTACCGCAGCTTCTTTTGATAGCGCTTAGCTATACACAAGCTAATCAATTTTAAAACCAGATATTTGAATACCTTTGCGGAATCAACAATAACAGAACGATCGATAGTGCAACACAGAGTGCCATCTTTTAGTATGGAATTCCTGCATTCCCTTTACATTCCCTAGGCTAGCGGCTTTTTAATATAAATGATCAATTGGGCCGATAAAGGAGAAAACTAAAACGGCATCTGTAGAGTACGCTTCTTCAGCATGTCCAAAAAATATTTTAAAGCAGAACTCCAGGAATTATCTTTTTTTTTAAACTTATGTAGCGCTCACCCCTAAAGGAACTGCTCAATAGCCTGTCTAGGGATTTTAGCAACCTGGCTGCCCCAATAGCACTTAGCACCCTCTGTGGCGACCAATAAAGTTGAGATCCAGACTGTTGATTTGATGCTGTAGAAACTTTATTGAAGAACTTCAGGGAGAGAGGGTTAGGGCTAGGAACATCTACGATGGTGTAGAATCATTTAACTGTTAGAGCAAAGTAACCGCTGCCTCCAAGGACTAGGACCTTTAAAGGAGAACTATGGGGTTAGGGCCTTTCTCCATAGTTCTCCTTTGGGTAAACGGAGGACACAAACTAGCGTCCTCCCATCACCCTAAGCTCAGTATACCGCACGCTACAGCTTGCGGTATACTGAGACGCCGCAGCGGATCCCGACAATTATGTCTGGATCCGCCCAGCTGGGTGAGTGACAGCTGGCTCTGCCTATCTAGAGGCAGAGCCAGCTGTACCCGCCCCCTCCCCCGTCCGTTCCGCCAGTCAGCGCTGGAGGATCGGGGAGAATCCAGTCCCTCCCCTGTCACGGCAGAGAGCCGTGACAGAATCGAGAAGTGAGCGAACACCGGTATGTGTTCGTTCACTTCCCAATCTACTGAGCCGACCTGTGACAGTTTAATTGTCACAGGTCGGCTAGAACTATGAGGTGAGTGAAAAGCACTCACTTCATAGTTCTCCTTTAAGCCAAATATGGCCCTCAGTGTTTAGAGCACCCGGCTGAGCAGTACTTGAAGGAGAAGTCAACTTCATCCTTAGTATCAGTAGTAGCCACTGGCCCCCCCGGACTCAAGCCTCAGTGTGAGCACATGGCTAGTCCCCTAGGTTTCGGGCCTAACCAAATCAAACAGTACACAGCAGCCGTCCCCAAGTCAGGGCTCTGGGGAGAAAGAGAACCTCACATGGTCCGCCCTGAATATTTATGTCTTCTCCCAGCATGAACCACTGGCCATGAACCTCCTACTGATAGGAGGCTAGGGAGACATAGATATCCATAACAATCCCTTATTGGTTGCTTTGCTCTGTGGGCAGAGTACACCCAGCAGCAGGGAGATGCAAACGATAACAGATTGGGGTTTAGGGGAAACCAAATGAGCATAGACTATTAGACTATCATCAGACTGAATACAATCTGACAACACTAAATTTAAATAAGCACCCCTGCTTACAGGGTGTTACACTTACATTGGTCCAGCTTGGTTACATTTAATTCTTCATGTCTCACATCCGGAGGGCTGCTGGGGATGCAGAAAATCACAATAGTAGCCTGTGCTACATACAGTCAGTGCTGGTCTCTCCTAAGTGCTTCTCGAGCGACTTGCCATCTGTATACTAAACACAGGGAGATTTCCGCTCAGAACCTCCACGTGGCTGAGAATGTGACATCAGCCGCTTCTCCTCTCCACATTATCCAATCAAATAACACCTTGTATTCATTGAAAAGATACAAGACATTCTCCACATAGGGTGCTGTTGGGGGACTTGCCGTCTTTATGCTGGGCACAGGGAGTCCTTCGCTCAGCACTTCTGCCTTTCAGAGAACATCTCTTATTTTTTCAATGAATACAAGCTGTTCTCTGACTGGAAGAGACGGAGGGGAGAAGCAAATTACATCACGATCTCTGCCTTTTTTTTTTTTACTTCATTCAATTTATGCATCCCCAGTGGCCCTCTGGATGTGAAGAAATAGATGTGGCCAAGCTGGACCAATCAAGCTCTACCACTGTTCATATGTTCTTACAGTGGACAGAGGGCAGAATGAGCAGAGAGCTGACCTCATTGCTGTGCTGCTTCTCCTTCATTGTCCAATCAGCAGGCTAAGGGTGTGTTTTTGATGTGCTGCTGCAACTGCTACAGTGGATTTCAAAGACTTGGGGGTCTATTCACAAAGCTGCCGAAGGATCTGGCCGTAGCTTCGGCCGATCCTTCGGCTGGCTTCGGCCCCAGGACCCCTTCGGTTCAGGAGAACCGAGGGGGTGCTGTACGGGCTATTCACAATAGCCCGTACAGCTCCCGATCACGGCCGAGCAGCTCAGTCGAGCGCTGAGCCGTGCTGAAAGCCGAAGTGTTCGGCTCACTTCACTTCTGATCGATCATTCACTCGGCTGCCCTCGGCAGCTTTGTGAATAGACCCCTTGGTTGTGCTGTCTGGCAGAGGTGCGTGGATCACACTAGCTGCACAGAATTATTTTGGCTGGTAGCGTAGTTCCCATATATGCATTTTAGCTCTGAAATTGGGTGCTTTTTCTGAAAAAGTAGCACTGAAAATTAGGCTATAAATTGCCTTTAGAGGATACAGCCTACCAATTTGGGTTTTTTGGTTTTTGTCCAGTCAATGATGTGGTGCACCTGACCTGTATCCTGCATGCAAAACTCTCTCACATTGTCACAGGTCACTATAAAGAGGTGAATGTTGCTTTTCCTGACACAATCTCTCGGCCACTGCTGTCAGTTATGTATCCTCACACCTTACTGACAGCTGGCACAATTCTACCCAGATACCGCTATCAGGAAAAACAACAGAGGGATTGCATAGAAGCTGCCAGAAACTGAAGTGAAGGAAGATCTATTTCAACACGCCAGAAATGGCTCTGGCATAACATATCATAGAGCTTTAGCAGCAAATTGGCAAATGACACTGAATTTTCAAGTATTTTTGTTGTCATTGTCTGTACCGTCACTTCCTGTCTTGGAGACACAGCAGCTCTGTAAAACTAGAGGCACTATACTTACCTTTCAGGTGGCCCATGTCTTGAAACCTAGCCTTTCACTGTTCCCCAGAAATGATGAGCGGAGGCTTGGTGCGAGCATAATTTACCTGAGTTTGCCCAAGTCCGTGCAAAAGTTACTGATTCACTACCCTCCAGGGGCCAATCAGTTGTGGCAGGGGCATTACCCTCCCCGCAGCTAAATGCCACAATAGGCAAGGAAGCTCCTAGCATAACTGCTGCAACTGATTGGTCCGGGGGTGGAGGGGTGTGACAGTCACATTTTTGTGCGGGCTTGGACCAGCTCCAATTGGTTTTGCATTTCCCTCCTTGTAGCTACACACCACAATGGGACAGGGAATCCCCCTACTGCAACCGCTACAACTGATTGTGACGGTTGGAGGGGGTGTGATAGTCACATTTTTGTGTGGGGGTGGACCAACTTCAATTGGGTTTGCATTTCCCTCCCCGTAGCTACACACCACAATGTGGCAGGGAATACCCCTACTGCAACTGCTACAACTGATTGGGCTGGTTGGAGGGGGTGTGACAGTCACATTTTTGTGTGCGGGTGGACTAACTTCAATTGGGTTTGCATTTCCCTCCCCGTAGCTACACGCCACAATGGGTCAGGGAATCCCCCTGCTGCAACTGATTGAGCCAGGTGGAGGGGTGTGACAGTCACATTTTGTGCTGGCATAGACCAACTTCAATTGGTTTTGCACCAAGACCCTGCACATCATTATTTCCCGGCAGCTGAAGGTGTTCTAGTTGGGCCAAATACCTTCCCCCTACCATATGCAATCGCTCCTCTTGGTAGTGAGGTAAAAGCCAGCCGGAGAAACCACTGCCAGTAGCGCTGGTGACAGGGTCTAACAAAAACCATCTTCTTGTAACCTTTAGTAGCCATTAAGTTTGTATGCTTCTGCCAATCTCCCATTTTAAGTTTTGCAAAGTTAAAAAAGGAACATGGAAAAGTATGTTCAGCTTTTACAACAAAGCTGCCTTTTCAATTCATAAGAGCCTGAAGATGAAACACGTGTTAGATTTAAGCCGGGTGTTCCTGTGCATATGGTCTACACACGTTCTCTAGTTCTCATGCTGCACAACACCTGAAGGTTGGCAGTGGTCTTTAATGTTAGCTGAGGTCAATCCAGCTTAATCCTGTGAGGTTTAGGAGTGTACACTGTCTCCAGGCATGAGTTAGGAACGCAGTAGATTTGTTAGTCAAAATTTAGCTAGTTGGCAAGGTGAAACAGAGCAAACTTTTCTCCGGAGAAAACCATTTCATTTTTCTACGATTCCCCTGATGGCTATCACCTTTCAGAACCATTTGACTGTCTCTTAGCTATGAGTCAGACAGGTCTCTGATCCCCTAGGACCCTCCATTGGGAGGGTCTCCTCACCCCGGTACATCTGGTGAAAGTTGTTTCAGCGGCTGACGTTAAATATGTGAATTTTCTAATCCCTGAACAGTCTAGTGGAATTTTTCCAGGAAATTCAGTTCTCATTCTAAGGGAAGATGCTTTTTCTGTTCTATTATCCTTTGTGTTTTATTACTTTTTTCAGAAAAAGCCGATTAACTTTTGGTTTATGTTTGAAGGGTCATCTAAGCCAATATTATAATGCAATCTATGGAAAGGAGCCATTAAAATAGCCATGCTCTTCATACATACAGTATGTAAAGGTCTATACGGCTATAGGAAGGTTACTTATCAATGTACTTACCTATATTATTATTTTATAGTGCCGACAGTTTGCCTAGTACTTTACAAAATAAAGGGAGATAGAACAATTACAATATAATTTAAGGAGGTTAGGAGGGTCCTGCTCATGAGAACTTACAATCTAAAAGTGATACCACAGGTAGTAACTGTGAGGATTAGTTGTTTGAGAATGTACAATTTTAGTTATTAGGTAGAGGCAGGATGAGCTTCCCTGAAGAGATGAGTTTTCAGGGATCACATAAAAGTCAGAGTAGAAGATGTACATGTTGGGATAGAGAGTTCCAGAGGCTGGGAAAGATTCTGGAGGTACGTTTAGGAGGAATTGACAAAAAAGCTGAAGAGGAGGAGGTCTCGGGAGGACCTTGGGAAGACATCTACATTTACATGTCAACCTGAGGCTGATGTCGGAGTTCACCAGGCACAGCCTAAATTTGGCCTTAGGCCTATCAGAATCTACCTAGAATTTAGATTGGGAAGCCTTACTACCTTTTTTCCAAAGGCCAAAGAAGATATTAAAGTGGACTAATCTGTTAAACTTCACACACCACCTGAATCAACATATCACTATTATAAAATCACATTGGTATTTGGGGAAATTCCGTATGTAAATCTTTCTTGCCCTAAAGGAAAAATGCTCCTGAGCTCCCTCATGTGACTTTAAGCCTAGGCAGGAGATCATGTGGTCTATAGCTACCAAGATCAAGTGTGTGTTTTATGGCCATTGAGGTGGTACAGAGCCTATTGTGTTCAACCTGATGGACTGGTAGATTTACTGTGAGATAAAAGGATCTGTAAAGTACAGCTCTTAGGTAGCACTATTAGGCAGGAAGCAGAGCTTGTGCATGTAATGGGAAAATATGGCTGTCTCCATGCACATATTTTATCTTAAGTTACACAATTTTTTTAACACTTAGGGGTCTATTTATTAACAATGCCCTTGGCCCTGTGAATATCCATGAACATTCTTTCTGTTCAAATAAAGACAAAAAAAATCTTAATATAGTTTTCTATATCCTATGCTCCTCATCTCCATTTAGTGGCCATAATGCAGTATTACATCACAATACATTCCACCTGAAAAGAAAATATGTTTAGAACCTTAGTTTTTGTGCTGGAGATCATTGTACCAAAAACAGAAAGTGAAAGAAAATCCAAAATGTTACACTTTAACATACACTTTAATATTGTACTCGTACTCACCCAAATGATCCGATACCTTCCCCGATACCGGAACTTCCGGTCAGAGGGAGATTTCCTCTAACCAGCAGTGCCGCGAGGGAACATGGAGATGGCTGCCAGCTTCCCAGCCAATCCTCATCAAGCTGGCAAAACAGCATTGAGCTGGCTTCCCTGCCAATCAGCATGGAGTCAGCCAAAAAATATGGAGCCGGCTTCCCGGGGAATCAAGAAGCCTGGCGGCAAGTAATGACATGCCGCCCGGCTTCCTGATAGCCTGGGAAGTCAGCTTGATGCTAGCGGAAGTACCGGTATCGGTACTCAGTATCAGCAAGTACCGAAATGTAAATATCGGTACTCATACTCGGTAGCAAAAATCAGTATCAGTGCATCCCTAACCACAACACACCTGGCAGCACACCATGAAACCCCAGCCTTGCACAGCCACAGGCATATAGATTAAGAGGTCTTTCTCTTATCACTTATAACTTTAGACTATTGATTTTTAATAGTTTATTAGCTGTTGGTATAAGGCAGCAGAAAGAATATTAGATTAGGGCCTCGTTGATGAGGCACAAGGAACAGAGCAAGGCTAAACATTTGTGTGTTGGGATTGTCTTCCTCTACAAGACGATGATGTTCCCACAATCCGAAGCACCTGCAGCATGTCTGTTACAGCTATACAGCCTGGAGCTGTGCCTCTGTTACAGTCATCTAATCGGAGACGGCTTTCAGAATTGACACCGAAGTGGGAAATGATTACCGATGGAGTCAGAATAATTTAAAGATCATCCTGAGGAAACCATCAGGCCATGGGCCAACGCTGAGATTTTTTTTTTGGGGGGGTTCTGGGAAAAAACAGAAACCTCAGTTGTGTCTGAGTTTTTAACACTTAGGAAAGAATTTAGAATTTTCTCACAGTCAGTTCCGTCAACTTTGAGAGTTCCAGGCAAATAAACAAAATGGATGTTAGTTTATTTGTGTATCCCAAAGACCCAAAATACATTTTCTTATTTTAGTAGGTGTAATTATTCAAAATATTTCTTATTTGGATTCACACCTACAGTATATGGTGCAGAAATGTATGGGATAACGCCTTTCATGGCATGTTACCATGAAGCACTGCACTCCACTTGGTGCCATTGGGTGCCAACAGACATGCACTACAGCGCAGGGTATGTGTGTTGTGGTGAAGGAATTTAGAAGTGTAGGTCTGTTTGTTTTTCCGTTGACCTGTTAATTCACATTGCAGGGAGTTGCACAACAACACAGGATGATATGATGAAATAAAGTAGTGCCAATAAAGTAGAGATGTAAAATAAAGTTGATCCTTTGTTGCATCTCAGTTCTGCTGATCTCCTACGCCCTTTTTTTTGCAGCTACATTTTGTCAACATGCATTCCATCAATGGCTCCATGGGCCAGGTTCTTCTGATGGTGACAACAGTGGAACATGCCTGTGTGATGTGTGTTGAAATGGCCACTTGTTGTCTCCATCACAAACCTTTGTGACAGGGTTGGAAACGCAGC